CCAGGGTCTATCTACACTGCAAAGAAAACCCCGTGGCGGTGAGTCTCCGAGCCTGGGTCTACTGACTCAGGCTACGGGGCTGAAAATAGCAGTGTAGACATTCCCGCTCTAAGAGGGGTCAGTCTCAGACCAGCCTGAGCAGGAACATATACACTGCTATGTTCAGCCCTGGAGCGTGATCCCAAATCAGTGAACCTGGGCTGACACTTGTTGCTGTGGTTTTTCTTTTTCCGGTGTCGATGTACCCTCAGCCTATCATCCAGTGCTCATCAGCCTCTCTATATGGCCCAGCCACCAATCAAGGGGGCAAAGTGCCCTACTGAGTGGGCGTGGGTTAGACAAGCAGCAGCAGGATGGGCAGGGATGGTGTCCCTAGCCTCTGTTTGCCAGAAGCTGGGACTGGGTGACAGGGGATGGATCACTTGATGATAAACTGTCTGTTCATTCCCTTTGGGGCACCTGCCATTGGCCAGTCAGAGGACAGAATACTGGGCTTGATGGACCTTTGGTTTGACCTAGTATGGCCGTTCTTATGTTCAAAAGTCAGCATCTGATTTTCCCCCTACAAGTGCTTCACACTGCTGTAGACCGTTCCAGGGACTGCCATGGGTTGACTCTGGATTTCTACCAGGCTGAGAGAGGGGGCAATCAGCCTACGTGGCACCAATGTTACTCCTGATTTACACTGGGGCAGATGGGAATCAACCCCATGTGATGCCAAGGGAGGTCACTCCGGATTTACACGGGGGTGAGTGAGGGGAATGGGGCCCAAGTGACTCCAGTGGGATCTCTCCTGATTTAAACCGGACCCAGCCAGAGGAGCACAGCGCGTTTCGACTCTAGGGGAAGTCTGAGAGTGTATGACGAGGCAGAGCTAAGATGCTTTGGGTGACCTCCCTGCCTTCCCTCAGCCCACCCGGCCTGGACTACGTGTGTAACTTTAAACGACACATTATGTGGGTTTGTAATGCTTGTGTGACCCCACTTACTGTGCACCTCACGCTTGATTTTTGGGCAATGAATAATACCTAGCTCTGAAATAGCACGGTACATCAGCCAAGGTCAGAGCATTTTGCAAAACTGGTCACTGTTTCTCTCCACAACTGCTCCACCAGCCTTTTAAAAACAAGCAGCAGTGCTCTCACAGGGTACGTCTTCACTACCTGCCGGGTCGGCGGCTAGCAATCGATCTATTGGGGATCGATTTATCGCGTCTCATCTAGACATGATAAATCGATCCCCGAACACATTCCCTGTCGACTTCGGAACTCCACCAGCGTGAGAGACGGAAGCAGAGTTGACGGGGGAGCCGCGGCTGTCGATCCCGCGCCATGAGGTTGGGAGGTAAGTCGACCTAAGATACGTCGACTTCAGCGACGCTATTCTCGTAGCTGAAGTTGCGTATCTTAGATCGATTCCCCCACCCCCAGTGTAGACCAGCCCACAGACTGACTGTCTCCCTCTGCAAGAGACAGGTGAACTGAAATGCCGGCCAGAAAGGATTTCCCCTGGACGCAAGGGTTTTCCGTCACAGACTCCTGGAAGGGTTTGGAAAGCTTGGGAATCTGCAGTGCTCAGGGTTGGGGAATTAACACCTGAAAGAGGCTTCCTAGACAGCCTCCGAGTCTACCAAAGGCCATTTTTTTAGTCATAATACTAGACAGAAGATACTGGACGTTTAAGAAACTGAATTCCACTTTAATTATTCCAAAGACCGAAATGAAAAGCTCCCGCCCCAGGGCCCTGCTCAGCAAAGTGTGTTTCAACTCAGCACATTACTGCTCGGGGCTCCAGCAACAGGGTTCCATTGTACAGCTGGCAGAAAAAGGAAGAAAATTCGAGAAAGACGCTGTGCCCTGAGACAGGCAGTTGGATGCTAGGTAGTCAAATGCCTCTGATTTGGGAAGTAGGAAATGGATGGTTTGGGGGTTTTTTGACTATGGCCCACCCTAATCAAGGCGCTGGGAGAATGTCCTTCCAGTGTGGAGGAGAAGTCTACACCGTCCCACCTGGTGTTAGCTCCATACTGCCTGCTAAGAAGATCTAAGAGGTCTCTTCCCTGTGTTCATTTGTTCACGCTACGGTCAGAGCCCAGTTGAAGCTTCCCTGTCATTCAAATTCTCTCTTCGGTGTGGTGTTTAATAGTGCGTGGGCTGTGACTGAAACTTGTCCGGCCATCAAGGCATTTATTGCAGTGGTCTGGGGGGGACGGACAGCAGAAGTCTTCAAAGGGGTACGTGAACTCATCTAGATAGTTGCCTCTTTCACAACAGGCTACATGAGAAGCACATGTGAAGTCAGGACAAACTAAAGTTTCATACAGACAATGACTTGTTTACACTGCTCTATATGCTATATCCATAGCTGACGTGTTGGGGGGGGGGGGTCATGCCAGGTCACATGCTCCCCCCAGATTTATGCCAGGGTGGGAGTTGGGCTGAGCGCAGCTGAGAGGGAGGTGCTGGGAAAGGCAGCAACAGCGAGCGCTCCCCCTGGGCGCCACTAGGTGGTGCCTAGAGCAGGGAAGTGAGACCGGGCTGGCAGAATTGGGGGTGCAGGGAAGCAGGCTGAATCCATCCCTGCCTCACCAGCAGCTGCTGTTACCTGCTCAGGTATGAGTCTGGACTAGCCTGCCTGGGGTGCGCAGAAGGGTGCTCAGGGAGTCAGTCGGGGCAATAGGGGGGAGTCAGTGGGGCCCAGGAGGCAGGGGGAGGCAATAGGGACCTAGGGGAGGCAGCAGGGGCCAGGGCAATTGGGGGATGGATGGTGGGCCGGAGGAGGAAGCAGGGACCGGGGGATGGGTGGGGGAGGCCCCAGAGGCCAGAGGTGATGGGCTGGGGGAGGCCACGGGGACCAGAACACCAAAATACCTGTTTCCCCAGAGTGCCATTTTCCCTAAGGCTGGCCCTGGGAGGGTGACATGGGTGACTGCCCAGGGTGCTGTGATCAGAGGGGGTTGCTGAAGGGGGCCCGGGCCGTCACCAGGAAGTTGACTGTGGCGGCAAGGACGGGGGGAGGGAGGGGCTGCCCTTGTGCCCCCACCCTCAGTAGTTACTAGTCGCTTCTGCATCTATATCAGCATTTCTCAATCTACAGCTGACAATTTACTTTAGAATGACAGGGTAACAACGAGAAAGGCAGCCATCTTTCAGTACTAGTGGTTGTGACCCTGTTGTATCTTTATGTCTGATTTTTATAAGCAAGTTCTTTTTAAGTGAGGTGAAACTTGGGCGTAAGCAAGACAAATCAGCCTCCAGAAAAGGGTACAGTCACCTCAAAAGGTTGAGAGCCACTGATTTATAGAGTCTCTCTCCTGCATGGACTATCTGATGTATACAAAGCTGTGACTAAAACAGTTACTCCAAATGTGTGATGTATACAGTCGCTCTACCATGTGGATCCTTTGATGTGAAATAAGAACTGAACTCTGACAGAAACTTTTCCCACAATCCAGGCATTAATAAGGGCTTTCTCTAACATCGGTCATCCAGGGTGTGGTAAGATGGGATTTGTTACTAAACTTTTGCTCACAAGTGGAGGCTTTTATGGTTTTTTTCCTCTCATGTGGATTCTCTGATGCGCAAGAAGATCCGAGCTCTGAATGAAACTATTCCCACACTCCTGGCACATATGGGGTCTTTCCCCCGTGTGGATTCTCTGATGTCTAGCAAGGTTGGAACTCCGACTGAAGTACCTCCCACAGTCAGAGCATTTAAAGGGCGTTTCTCCTGTATGGCTTCTCTGATGCACAATAACATCTGAGCTCTGAATGAAACTTTTCCCACAGTCCAGGCATTTATGGGTTTTTTCCCCTGTGTGGGTTCTCTGATGTCTAGTAAGATTTGAACTTCGACTGAAGTTTTTCCCACAGTCA